TTGGTGGGAAGGATGGGGGTTGGTAGGAGGAGGGTTTTGGGTGGGAAGGATGGTGTTGGTGGGAAGGATGGTGTTGGTGGGAAGGATGGTGTGGTGGAAGGTGGTGTTGGGGGGGAAGGAGGGTGTTGATGAGAAGGATGGTTTTGGGTAAGAAGGATGGTTTTGGGTTTTGGAAGGAGGGTGTTGGTGGGGAAAGGGGTTTTGGTTTTGGAGGATGGTGTTGGTTTTGGAAAGGAGGGTGTTGTGAGGGGGGATGGTTTTGGGTTTTGGAAGGATGGTGTTGGTTTGGAAGGAGGGTGTGGTGGGGAAAAGATGGTGTTTTTTTGGAAGGATGTGTTGGTGGGAAGGATGGTGTTGGTGGGGAAAAGATGGTTTGGTTGGAAGGATTGGTTTTTGGTCTGGAAGGGTGGTGTTGGTTGGGGAAGGGATGGGTTGGTAGGAAGGATGGTGTTGGGGGGAAGGATGGTTTTTGGAAAGGTTTTTGGGTGGTTGGAAGGTGGTGTTGGTGTGAAGGAGGGTGTTGGTGGAAGGATGGGTGGAAAGAGGGGTGTTTTTGAACGGAATTATTTTGGTGTGGAAAGGGGAGGGGTTTTGGTGTGGAAGGATGGGTTGGTGAGGAAGGAGGTGTTGGTGTGGGGAAGGATTTGTTGGTGGGAAGGATGGTGTTGGTTTGGAAGGATGGTGTTGGGTTTTGGGAAGGATGGTGTTGGTGGGAAAGGAGGGGTTTGGGTGGGGAAAGGATGGTTTTGGGTGGGAAGGATGGTGTTGGTGGGAAAGGATGGTTTTGGGAGGAAGGATGGTTTGGTGGGAAGGGGGGTGTTGGTGTGGAAGGTGGTGTTTGAGGGGGATGGTTTTGGGTGAGGAAGGATGGTGAGGAAGGGGTTTTGGTTTGGAAGGATGGTTTTGGTGAGGAAGGATGGGTGTTGGTTTGGGAAAGGATGGGGGTTGGAAGGTTGGTTTTGGGTGGGGAAAGGGGATGGTTTTGGGTTTGGGGAAAGGGTGGTTTGGTGGAAGGTTGGGTTGGTGGGGAAGGATGGGGGGGTGGGAAGGATGGTGTTGGTGGGGGAAGGGGGTTGGTGAGGAAGGGAGGGTTTTTGGGGTGAGGAAAGAGGGTTTTGGGGGAAATGGTGGTTTGGTGGGGAAAGATGGTTTTGGTGAGGAAGGATGGTGTTTGGGAAGGTGGTGTTGGGAGGAAGGTGGTTTTTGGAGGAAATGGGTTTGTGGGAGGATGGTTTTTGGTGGGGAAGGATGGGTTGTGGGAAAGGAGGGTTTTTTGGTGGGAAGGATGGTGTTGAAGGGAGGGTTTTTGTTTGGAGGATGGGGGTTGGTGGGGAAGGTTTGGTGTTGGTTTGGAAGGGGGTGTTGGTTTTGGGGAAGGGTGTTTTTTGGTGGGGGGGTTTGGGGTTTGGGGTTGGTGGGGAGGGGTGGTTTTGGTTTTGGGGTGGTGTTGGGGGAAGGTTGTTGGTGGGAAAGTGGGCTGGTGTAAGGTGGGTGTTGGTGAGGAAGGTGGTGTTGGTGAGGAAGATGGTGGGGTGGGGAAAGGATGGTGTTGGTTTGGAAGGATGGTGTTGGTGGGAAGGATGGTGTTGGTGGGGGAAAAGATGGTGTGGTGTGGAAGGAGGGTGTTGGTGTGGAAGGAGGGTGTTGAGGTGGAAGGATGGTTTTGGGAGGAAGACGGGTTGGTGGGAAATTTATGGTGTTGAGGTGGAAGGAGGGTGTTTTTGACGAAGGAATTTTTTGGTGTGGAAGGAGGGTGTAGAAGGAGGGTGTTGGTGGGGGAAGGAGGGTGTTGGGTACAAGGATGGTGTTGATGAGAAGGATGGTTTTGGGTGGGGGAAGGATGGTGTTGGTGGGAAGGATGGGTTTCTGGGGAGGGGAATTTATTTGGGTGTGGAAGGAGGTGTTTGAGGTTGGGTTGGTGAGGAGGGTTTTGGGTTGGGAAGGAGGGTTTGGTTTTGTTTTGGGTAGGGAAAGGATGGGTAGGTTTGGAAGGAGGGTGTTGGTGAAAAGGATGGTTTTGGTTGGGGGAAGGTGGTGTTGGTGGGGAAAGGATGGTTTGGTGAGAAGGTGGTGTGGTGGGGAAAAGGGTGTTGGTGAGGAAGGTGTGTTGGTGATGAGGAAGGATGGGTTGGTGTGGAAGAAGGGTGTTGGGAGGAAGGAATTATTTTGGGGTGGGGAAAGGGATGGTGTTGGGTGGAAGGATGGTGTTGGTGAGGATGGATGGTGTTGGTGAGGAAGGAGGGTGTTGGTGGGGAAGGAGGGTGTTGGAAAGGGAAGGGATGGTTTTGAGGGGAAAAGGATGGTGTTGGTAAGGAAGGATGGTGTTGGTTTGAAAGGTGGTGTTGGTAGGAAGGATGGTTTTGGTTTGGGAAGGATGGTGTGGTTTGGAAGGATGGTGTTGGTGAGGAATGGGGGTTTGTTTGGAAGGGTTGGATTTGGGGTTTGGGAAAGGGGGTGCTGGGGGGAAAAGATGGTTTTTTGGTTTTGGAAGGAGGGTGTTGGTGAGGAAGGAGGGTGTTGGTAGGAAAGATGGTGTTGGTGAGGAAGGATGGTGGAAATAAATGATAAAATCCCGACAAAAGGCAATATAAACACAAAGCAGTAAATGTGACCCTTTATTGACTACGTTTCGCCCCAACAGTGGGCTTTTTCAAGTCACAAAAAAGAACTACTGGGGTGGAAGGGAAGGAGTATTTATAGTCGGGGTGAGGTCAAGGGGAAAATCCTGCAATTTATGTGTACCCGGTTGGGTTGTGAGTCTAAAAAATTGGGTGCTTTGGAAAGGAGACTGGAAGTTTGTGAGAGCCTTCTACGTGTTCTTATGTGGGGGTAGCGGAAAAAGTTTTTTTGGGAAGTGGTTCAGCTATGTTAAGAAGCCCTATTTATATCCCAAAACTTCAACCCGAATAGGGCTTTTATAACATAGCTGAACCACTTCAAGAAAAATTCTTTTCGCTATCCCACATAAGAACACTGTAGAGGTCTGCTCACAAAACTTGTCCGTTCCTTTCCAAGCTACCCAAATTTTTAGACCTAAAACCCAACCGGGAATCATCAATGCAGAAAATTTTCACCTGACCTCAGCCCCCACTTAAAAAACTGCGTTTCCTTTCCCCCCCGGTTTCTGTTTGTGACTTTAAAAAGCCCCCGTGTGGGGGAAACGAGAAAAAAAGGATCACATTTACTGATTTGTTTTATATTGCCCAGGGAAAGGAAGGTGTTGGGGTGGGAAGGTGGGTTGGGTGGAAGGATGGTGTTTTTGACGAAGGGGAATTTGGGTGGTGGGAAAAAATGGTGTTTTGGGAAGATGGGGTTTTTGTAGAAGGATGGGTTGTGAGGAAGATGGGTTGGGGGGAGAAGGAGGGGGTTTGGGGAGGAAGGTTTGGGGTTTTGGGTTTTGGAAAGGTTTTTTGGGGGGTGGGGAAGGGGTTGTGTTTTGGGTTGGGGAAAGGGGGTGTAGGTTTGGAAGATGGTGTTGGTTTGGAAGGATGTGTTGGTGGGGGAAAGGGTGGTGTTGGAGAGTTAGGAAGGTATGTTGGTTTGGAAGGATTTTGTTGGTGTGAAAGGATGGTGTTGGGAGGAAGGAATTATGGGGAGTGGAAGGTGGTGTTTGGGGGGATGGATGGTGTTGGGAGGAAAGGGTGCGTTGATGAGGAAGAATGGTGTTGGTTTGGGGGATGGTGTTGGTGTGGAAGGATGGTGTTGGGAGGGAAGGGTGGTGTTGGTTTGGAAGGATGGTGTTGGTTAGGGAAAAATGGTGTTGGTGAGGATGGGTGGTGTTGGGGGAGGAAAGGAGGGGGTTTTTTTTTGGAAAAGGTGGTGTTGGTGGGAAGGTGGGGTTTTTGGGGTGGAAAGGGTGGTGTTTGGGGTAGAAGGGGGTTTTGAGGTATGGTGTTGGGGAGAAGGTGGGTTTTTTGGTTTGAAATTTTTGGGGGAAGGATGTTTGGTGGGAAGGATTTTTTTGGGGAGAAGGGTTTTGGTGAAAAGGAGGGTTGGGGTTTAAAATTTTTTAAAAATGGGGTTTAAAATTTTTTTAAAAATTTTTTTTGGGAATAATGTTGGGAGGAAGGATTGTGTTTGGTTTGGAAGGATTGTAGGTTTTGGGGGGGTGGTGTTTGGGTTTTGGGAAAGGGTTTTGTTGGGGGAAAGGTGGTGTTTTGAGAAATTTTTGGAGAGTTAGGGAAAAGATGTTGGTTTGGGAAGGATTTGTTTTGAAAGGGTTTTTTAAAGTTATGTTAAAATTTTTTTTAATTTTTTAAAACTTTAAAAATGGTTTTTTTTTAAAATTTTTTTTTTTTTTTAAATTTTTTAAAATTTTTTTTTAAATTTTTTTAAAATGGGTTGCTGAGGAAAGGGTGGTGTTGGGAGGAAAGGATTGTGTAGGGGAAGGATGGTGTTGGGAAGGGTGGGGTTTTTGGGAAAAATGGTGTTGGGGAGGAAGGGTGGGTTAGTGGGAAAGGTGGTGTTTTTTGGGAGGAAGGTGGGTTTGGGAGGAAGGGTTTGTTGAGGAAAAATGGTTGGTAGGAAGGGGGGGGGGTTAGTGAGGAAGGATGGTGTTGGTGAGGAAGGGTGGTGTTGGGAGGAAGGATGGTGTTAGGAAAAGAGGGGTTGGTGAGGAAGGGTGGTGTTGTGAGGAAGGATGGGGGTGAGGAAAGGGTGGGGTTTGGGAGGAAGGTGGGGTTAGGAAAAATTTTTTGGGGGGAAGGGGGTGTTGTGGGGGGTTGGGGGTGAGGAAGGATGGTGTTGTTGAGGAAGGATGGGTTTTGAGGAAGGTGGTGTGTTGAGGAAGGGGTAGTTATGTATCCTCACACGAGGATGATAAAGTGTTCTTGAGGGGTGGGTCACAAATCTACACTTAGAAATACGTAAATCAGTCTGAGTTTGTTAATGTAGTTAAGGAACAATTAACTTTCAGAGGCGATGTGACTAACAAGCCTTTATTTAAACCCGATTTCTTGTTTCTAGTATCGAACAAGCCCCGGCTAAATCCTGGTACTCACCCTGGGGTGAAGATGAAGCTGTGAGGTGGTACGTACCCTGGGGGTGAAAATGATGCTTTGAGGTGGTACTTACCCTGGGGGTGAAAAGGTGAGAGATGCCATCAGACATGCCCCTGAGGGTGACTCCCCGGCAAAAGAACGCCAGCAGTACCACGTACGGGAACAACGCTGTCACGTACACAACCTGACGGATGGTAACAATCACAACACCTTCAGTATGTATAATGTGCGTCACTGTGATACATGCCAGTACACTGATACCTTTTGGAGGTAATTTAATATGACATGCGTACATAGATTAGTTTGAAATATACAATTATTGTAAGTATAATATACATGGTATATCAGTGGGATGCCTGCTAAGGAAGGTATTGCGGAAAAAGGAGTTTCCTCGTAAACTGAAGTGTTATAATACCTGTACCTATAAAGTATTTAATTTAAACAATCTATATATGTTGCATTATATAAACTGAAGCGTTTTTGTGAATATGTAAGGTTTCTTTTTGTTTTAATGTGCTTATTCATGAGTGTACTGCACTTGTGCTCAGCTTCTAGTGAGTGTGAGTGAGTGTGTGTGAGTGAGTGAGTGTGAGTGAGTGAGTGTGAGTGAGTGAGTGTGAGTGAGGAGTGAGTGAGGACTCGCCTTACCTAAGTAGTCAGTCATGTCACAGTCACTGTGTGATACTCTCCTCCGTGTCCTCTACTGTGTGATACTCTCCTCTGCGCAGGTAACCACTTAAAGTGTCCCTCAAGGGACACTTTAAGTGGTTACCTGCGCTTATTTTTCTTCTTTTGTCTTCAAACTTTCGTTTGTAACTGAGAGTGCCTCGTCTGATTTCAAATTCTCAGCGTTGGTTTACTGTACCGAGGAAAGAGTTCCTGTAACCACTGTATCACGCAGGTGTTCTATGATCAATGTTATATATGTATTCCACTCCTGAAATATCGTCTCCATGAAATATCATGAGAAAGCCTCCTCGGACTGTCTTCTAACATTCAAAGAAAAAGGTGCCACTTAGCTAGTAGATGGGCTATATGATGCTGCTGCAGACTCGAATGTATAGGCTTCATCTGGTCTACTTCATCTGTGAAATACTGCGAATCTTTTATTCCTTTAATTCGTGTTAAATATAAGTACTTCAACATGCTTCTTATGAACGCCTTCAGTAATGGCTGCTGCTTCACTTTACAGTCAGGATACTACTGGAGAAGTTTCTTTCATGTATGTTCGGATCTGCCAGTAAAATTATATAGTAAAAAAAACTTGGAATCCACGCAATCTGTGTGATAACAGGAGAATGACACGTCTGAACGACTTCAAACTTTTAGCACTGGTGTGTTTCGTTTGTATTGTTACTGAGTTGCACTGATTTCAGTTCGCAAGTTTTTTTAATTGTGGCATTGATATCCAGACAAATGGAAAATGAATTTTCTGATCACCTTCAACATACTACCATTAAAACATCCAGTAAGAAGGATAATGACGCTCTGTAAGTCAAGTCTGTGTTGCTGCTTATATGAAATTCTACAAACATTGTTGACAATTTAGAATCATTGGATTCAGAACAATTACGTTAAATGAAGCTTGGTATTCACTCTGAGCAGTGTAAATTTTAATTTGCCAGTTTTGTTAAATAAATTAGTTATGTAATAACTAGAGAATGCCTCTTTTGCTCGGCTTCAAACACGAAGTGCTGGTGTATCATAATTGGAAGTGTTTATATATTGAAAATAGGCTGTGGAGGTAACAATTTGCCAATTTTAAAGAATTATATCTAATTGAACTTTATTAAAAAGTCCGAAATTTAATATTTTGTCTCTTTTAGGAATACAAAGCACATTAAATATAACTGAAAAAAAAATATTGAAAACTTATACTTCTGTGAGTTTTATAGATTCCAGAAGTTAGGCAAAGCCTTAACTACTGTATTTTATACCAGACTTGGTTATATTCTCAATGTTCCTGTCTTCCACTAACTTCCTCCATCACTTTCATTTGTAACTACAGAAGCCTTATCAGATCTTCTTGAGATTTTCAGCCCTGCTCAACTATAACCAGGGTAACGTTTGTGTAATAAAAGGCAGCTGCCCTCTGACCAGTTTTATGTAGACCATTCCCTAAATTAGTTTCCAGGAGATAGCATTAGAAAGCCACTTGTGTCCGGCATCGAAATTCAACACTGGTGTTACCTACCCTAAACAACATTTGTATTGTTGATAGCATCTGTGGTTGCTATTTTGACATTTTTCAGTGGTAAAGTACTATTTTGCATTAAATAGCTGAAGTTTGCCTTATCGAAAGGGAAGGGGGAGGATGCCTTGATGCTGACAAGGGCTCTTAATCCAAGGAACTGGACTTCTCTTTCTCTTTAAAAGAATTTTGGTTCCTCCCATTTATATGATTCATCCAGTTTTAACACTTTCCTCTCATTAAAATAAACACAATTCTAAGCGGCAAGCCATCTGTAACAGCTGGTGCATCTTATGAAATAGATGATTTTTGGGGGGAGGGGGGGTAGAGACATAGGCTGTATAAGTGCAATTCTATTTTAAATTTTGTGCAGTAACTAGTGAATGCTTCGTCTGATTGGCTACAAACGTTTAGTGCTGATGTGTTTTCCTCAGAGAAGCTTCTCTGTGATTTTAAGGTTGTGTAAGTTTTAACGTGTCCATTTTACTAAATAATTATTTACTTAAATGGGCACGTTAAAATTATAATTTGGTTCATTGAAATAAATGATAAGGGAACAGACGGGGTCTGATCTTATGAAGAGTGAGTTGTAAGCCTGGAGGCCGGTGCGTGAACCACTGAGCCACCTGCCTCTGGTTTGTTTACAATTGTACTAATACCATTTCGTGAGTCATGAAATAACTGAATAACATCTCTTGTGATCAGAAGTCAGTGTTTGACAGAAATTGCCCTCTAAAGGGTTTAATGTGCAGGTGTATTTTAAGGGATACTGATCTCTGAGATAACAAGAGAATGCCTCTTCAGCTGAGCTTCAAACCTAATGTTTCTTAGTGGAAGGTTTGAATTAGATTCGAGATTTATTCTAATTTGACATTTTTATTAAAGAAATTTCAACATTAGTTTCCAGGTGAGAACTTTGATCCTCTCAGAACCTTGAACAATATTATTTACCTGCATTCAACATCTTCATTAACATTCTGTAACGTTGATGTCTCACGCACTGACGTATAGTGACTGTAGTGTTGATGTCTCGCGCACTGACGTATAGTGACTGTAGTGTTGATGTCTCGCGCACTGACGTATAGTGACTGTAGTGTTGATGTCTCGCACACTGGCGTATAGTGACTGTAGTGTTGATTTCTGATACATGGGATCAACTTTGTCATCATCCTCCTTTGTACGTTTTCCAGTGCATTTATATCCATTCTGTAATATGGTGACCAGAACTGTGCAGCATAGTCTAAATGAGACCTAACCAAGGATATATAGAGTTGAACAACCTGATGACTTCTGTTATTTATACTTCTTGATATGAAACCAAGGATTCTGTTAGCTTTATTGCGAACACTTATGCACTGTTGTCTTGGTTTCAGATTACTGCTAACCAGAACTCCTAAATCTTTTTCGCAATCCGTAATATTAAGATCTAAATTATTTAGTTTATATGTGGCATGGTTATTTTCCTGTCCAACATTTAGAACTTTGCATTTGTCTATATTAAACTGCATCTGCCAATTCTCCGACCACTGCATCGTCTATTAAATTTCTGGAGTCTTTAATTTTCCTTGTCAAATAAATGACGGCTATTTTGGTTCATGTGGACTGTTATAGCTGGATGGTATAGTGTGTATAGCTTGGGGAGTGTATAGTGTGTATAGCGTGTGATGTGTGTAGCGTGCGATGTGTATAGCGTTGGACGTGTATAGCGTGGGATGTGTATAGTGTGTATAGCTTGGGGAGTGTAAAGTGTGTATAGCGTGGGATGTGAATAGCGTGCGATGTGTATAGCTGTATAGCGTGGGACGTGTATAGCGTGGGACGTGTATAGTATGTATAGCTTGGGGAGTATATTGTGTGTATAGCGTGGGACGTGTATAGCGTGGGATGTGTATAGTGTGTATAGCTTGGGGAGTGTAAAGTGTGTATAGCGTGGGATGTGAATAGCGTGCGATGTGTATAGCTGTATAGCGTGGGACGTGTATAGCGTTGGATGTGTATATTATGTATAGCTTGGGGAGTGTATTGCATGAGACGTGTATAGCGTGGGACGTGTATAGCGTGGGATGTGTATAGCGTGGGACGTGTATAGCGTGGGATGTGTATAGCGTGGGACGTGTATAGTGTGTATAGGAGCTAAGACTCGACCCCTGCAACCACAAATAGGTGAGTACACATACATACACACACACACACACACACACACACACACACACACACACACAGTAAAACATTTTTAAGCAAGTTGAGGGATCCCTCGTCAGTGTCGACCCTCGACAACACCGGCAGTTCTCTATTTAATAACCTCTGATATTTCACTTTTTCTCTACACTCCTCCTTCACCAACACACCTCCACACTTTCATTTATATGAAGACAGGAATTAAGGGCAAGCTGCACTCCCAGTGTGACTTACTGACTCATGGGGGTAAAACTCTCTCTTCAGTGACCTACTCACACTTTAAAATTCCATTTATATTTCTTTTCCTTTTCAGTTTATTTTATCCATTTCTTTAACTTCATGATTCTCCACTTCAGGTAGCTTATAAATCAGTCTTATGTCATTGATACTCTCAAAATATATTCTTTCGTAATCTCTTGGATCAGTAACTATTATTTTTCGTCTCTACAACTTATATTCTTTCATAAACAAGTATATGTTTTTTACTGTCTTGTTAACTCTCCTCATCAAGTTTGGAGCAGCTTCTTTCCTCTTCTAATTTACCTAAATTTTCTAAAGTCTGAACTGAATGAAAGCCTTTATTTTAATAACAATTCAAAAATAGAAGAATTTCCTAATTAATAGTAGACGTGGTCATAAAAATATGTATACGTGTGTGAATATTGTGCGCATAAATATCTGTATGAATATATGCATTTGTGTGAGAATGTGTATGCGTGTATTTGCATAAGTAATTTTTATATGTATAATTGTGCGAATGTATACCTGAATTCATATATAACCACGAACGAGTGGTATTAATCAATAACAACATT